GCAGCCCACTAGGTGCTTGGCACCTGCCACCAGTACTTGTTAATGGAGAATACAGAGTAATATCCTGTTTTGCTAAAGTATTTGGGGATAAATACTATAGGCTGCAGCTGCAACACTTCATTTTTGGAGAATTTTCTTCACCATATATAAAGGCTGCATCTGGAGAGATAGAAATGAGACCCAGTCCTAGAGAGGGGAAAATGAATTAGAAAAACAGTTAAAAAACATCCCCAGGGGATCTGGGACCTGCGTTTCATCTGCTCAGTCTTTCATCATTGTTAATTCATAAGTGTTTTTAAAATTCTGCACTAGAATTCGAGAACAGTCGGTGTGTGTGACCATTATTCCTAGAAGATGCCCCCACCGCCAGTTGGTGCAATTCCGCTCGTTCTTGGGGCCACAGCGGCCTCTACTGGCCACTCCTGGGACCGCAGGTTGTCTCAGCCCCAAGGTGGAGTAGGTTCACGCCGTGAAGAAGCCCTGGCACCCCTCACCCGCTCTGGGGCCTGGGCAGTGTGGAAGGATCGCCGTCCAAAGGCACAAGTTGAAGTGCACTATATGGAAACAAAGCTACTCCCTGCTGGTGTGAAGCTCCGACCAGACCAGGGCAGTATATCATCTTGCTTGCCGACGTGTAACTTATCTGCTGACCCAATTTTACAGATATTCTCTTCAAAACATACTCGGCTCTGTGAATATTTTTCTTTATCAAGCTGTGGTGATGGAAAATATTTTTTTAAAAAACGCTTTAATAAAGTGAGATGGTTAGGCTCAGAATTGATTCTTCTATCAGTTGGTTATGCTTAAATAGATAGTTGTGCGATGTGGGAAAGGTAAAACCACTAAATTAGGATCCCCCACCCCCACCCACTGCCTCTTCCCTTCAATCTGGCAGCCAGGCATCTCCCTTCATTTCCGACAAAGGGAGGCAACACGGATCCATTATTGAAAACACACAACTGCCACAACTTTGTTCATTTTCATATATGCAGCTGAGGGCAAGAGGTTCTCTTTTAGTTTCCCTTTGACTTGAAAGCAATACAAAGAATGAAGGGAAATGTAAAATATGGGCATAGAGGGGCTCATGCTTCTTACACACACACAATCATGCCTTCCAGTTACATACAAAGGCAATTTTCCAAACAGATGGTCACAAGCATTTCTCCTTTCACAAGTTGATTTTATGGCAGCTCCACAGATTTTAGTTGGCTTATTTGCTGAAGCTGAAATCTACCTCCTGGGTGGGGAGACCAAAGAAGAGGAAGGTTACCCAAGCCGTAGACGTTGCAACAGCTGCCACAGAGAACTGGACTTGGAGGTGGCCACAGAATTGACTTAGTGGAATTGAGTCTGAGGCTTGCTGCCACTTCACAAGCTCTAAATCCTTAGCTGAGTGGCTTCCCTCCTCTGGGCTTCAGTTCCCCTTGTGAAATGAGGAAATGCATGGGCGTCCTCCCAAATCTGAGTTTCTGGTTCTAATTTGGTCTTCCTCAAACTTTTTAAAAAAATATTTTTGTTCATTCATTGAGTAAACAGATAAGTATCTAAAATATTCCAGGCACCAGGTTAGAAGCTTATCGTAGAGGGCGAATAAGGAATGCCTCCTTCCTTAGCATTAGGTCATTGGAAAGTGACAAAAGAGAGATATAAACACAAATGCTGGTGCCCTACTAATGGGATGGTAAATTTGTGCAATCCCTTTAGAGGCCATTTTGGCACCAGCTTCTAGATTGTCCAATATACAGACTACATTAGTCAGGAGCCCTAGTTGTTTGACTGAGCCTTCTTAACTTAAGCAGAAAAGGGTTTATATTACTTTTAAGGCTATCAATTCAGAGTCCCAGGGAACGCTGCAGTCTCAGGCCTAGGTAGGGACATTGGTACACAACCACAGCTAAAATCACACCACAAAAATATTCTGGCACTGACACTGCCATTGCCACTGCCAGACACTGGTGGCTACCACTCACCCACTGTCGCTGCAAAGCCCGCATGCTGTGCCATGCCACCACTGATTTTTACCACACAGATGGAGTCACTATGGTTCCTGTCTCACAGTTTGGGGAAGATGGTATCTGTTTAGTTGGGTCAGGGTCACATACCTGCTCTCTAGCCATAGGGAGCTACAGGAAAACTGGCCATCTGGCATTTTGTGCCTCTACAGTGGCCACCCAAAATAACAGCATGGAGAATTTCCCCAGCAGAGGAAGGCGTTTATGATGCTGGTGGCCAAAATCATGACAAATGTCCTTTATTTGTGCCTTTGATCTGGAAATTCCATTTCTACAATTTAATCCTTTAGAATTACATTAATACCCAAGTACTCACTTCATTCCATTAATGTTAGTTGTGGGGGTTACCATGTGCTAGATACTGGAAGACAATAGTTCAAAAATAGATACTCTATGCCCCCAAAGAGCTTACTGGGGGAAAATATATACAAATGAAGCAATTACATAAATTAGTATGAAAGTACAACATAGCTGAGGGCTAAGAAAAAGTGGTATGGGTATGCTGCAATCTGACCTAATCAAAGGCATTAGGAAAGGATGCCCTTAGGAAGAGAGGGTCAAGCTGACCCTGAAGACAGAAGTCAGGACAAGGTCAGTATGGACCAGACATGAAGAGTATACACAAAGGCCAGGTTAAAGTGTTTTCTGCTTGTTTTCCTGTCAATGGGAGGCCACTGAACACTATATTTGGGGGTGGGGAAGTACAAGCAGTGGGCAGTGACACAATCAAATTTGAATTTTGCAAAGATTATCTTCAGAACTGTGTGAACTGGACTGCTGTGAAACAAGAGAGGAAGACCACTTAGGAAGTGGTCAGGTGTCCAAGTGATAAGGAATAGTGGCATGGAATGGTATGCATAGAGACAGATACGTGGATGGATTCAGAATATACTGAAGAAGATGAAATCCATATGGCCTTTTGGTGCATGTCTACACCCCATAAGGTTGTAGGGCTCTCTCGGCCCCACAGCCAGCAGAGTCATGAAAATCAAGGCTGGAAAGAGCAGCAGTCTTGGTGTGAAACTTCGTAGAAATATTTACATTCATAAGCTGTCATGGGAAAGGAAGGAAACTCTCAGGTTTCTAGTTTTGCCCTCCAGAAAATAACATCACATGCTCACATGCAAATGCTTCATATTTGCATGTCATAGGAAGTTGGAATTGGGGAACCCTTTATAAATCACACAGCATGAAAAGCAGGTTGTAAAAAAGGATGGAGAGTAACAGAATGTAAAATTGTTTAATATATTATGCATAGGAAAAGCTACACCATGTTAACAGTTAGATTATTGGTGTTAGATTATTGTCTTTATTTTAGAATATTTTTTCTAATTTCCTGGGATAAATATGTAAATACTATTGCAATAAGGGAGAAATCCAGTATTATTTTTAAAGAAATTACCGAGCATACATAACTCTTCTTCTATCAGAAAGAAAACTGAGATGGGAGAATCTCTCTGGACAGGAAGAAAGGAAAAATCCAATCAACTACTATTATAGAAACTTTTCTGTTATTCTAAAATCTTTGTCTTTATTTGAAAGCTCCTTGTCCTCCTTAAAGATTTTTCAATGCTATACGCAAAGGGCCACTCATTTTATATAGTCAGCACATTATTTTAATAATTGAATGTGTATTCCCCAAATCATGAGTCTCAGAGACAGAAGGGGTTTTAGTAGTTAGTCTACTTTGGCAAATGATTTCCTGTGTCAGTTTCTCCAACTTGGCACGATTGCCATTTGGGGCCAGATGGTTTTTGCTGTGGGGGCTTTCCTGTGTATGCTTCCTATCCCCCCTGGCCTTTCCCCACTCAATGCTAGTAGCACTGCCCTCAGTTGTGACAACCAAAAAAGAATCCAAACACTGCCAAATGTCCCCTGAGAGCAGAGTCACCCCTGTTGAGAAAAACCATCCTAGGTATTGCTTATATACTTCAGGTGACAGAGAGCCCACCACAACTAGGAACAGGCTCTTTCAACCATGAGCTGCTGTTCAAATTCAACCTTTCACCGAACTTCCATCTGTCTTCTGCATCCTCTAGTGCTGGTTCTTTCCTTGGCCATTAGAGAACATGTCTAATCTCTTTTGCCTATGATGGTTCTGCAGAGATTTCAAGATAGCACCAAGTTGTGCCCCCTCCATCACCCTCCACCATATGCTCACATGTCTTTTCTCTCCCAAGTTGAACATTCCTCTTTAGGTTGTTCCTAACATATTATGTTGGGTCTCCTTTTTGTCCACATTTCTATGACAACCCTAGTTCCTTGGCTAAACACAATTCTCCAGGTGCTGGCTGACCATGTAGGAAGAACCACTGACCACCTTACTCCTCCTGAATACCCATTTATGTAGCTTGACATTCCTTACACTTCCTGACAGCTGCATCACACTAAGTCCCCATATTAAGCATTGACTAAAATGCTAAAGGTTTGCATGTATGATACTGCTCCCTTGGGTCACCCCTCCCTAATATCTTTGTTCTGGGACCCACTTGTTTGGTCTACATTTATCTTTCTCAAACTGCACCAATTCACATGGAGCTGGCAACTTTTGATGCCTCTGAGGACACAGGGGGTCACTGGCAACAGAAGGGAAGAGAAAATGACTTGTATTGTTGACATATGCGTGTCTTTCAAACTTTGTACCATGTGCATATATTATCTAGTTAAAATAAACAAGCCAGCAAATAAATATATTGGACATATTTCATCTGCTTCAATTCACCCAATCCTTCCAGCCTGTCCTGATCCATTTGGTAATTTATGATGTCTTCTCTCAAATTCATCCATAAGGAAATGTGGAAAAAGATAAGTCAAGGCTCATCAAAGCACATTTAAGTCAAAGCACTAAGTAGGGACTTTTTCAGTTGGAACCCGAAGAACTCACGCATTCCCTTCAAGAAGACAAGTCAGCCCCCTTTTACGTGGTTGCTATTGCATATCTGGTTTCTCTAAATAGAGGCCCATCTGATACATCATCCCACTTCCTTCTTCTTTCTGGGGAGTTTCTAACTTCAGGACAAGCTTGGAGAAATATCACTGCCCAGAAAGGCACTTCTACATTCAAGAGAAATACACCCCCACCACTGAGGAAGAATTCTTCTCCTTTGCAAAACCCATACCACACCTGCTCTGTCCTCACATGGGTGGGAACAGGTTGGATACTGTAAGGGGACAAAACTGTACCACAGTATTAAGATTCATTAAATGGCTTCATTTATTTTAAGGCAGCATCAAGCAGTCCCAAAACATCATCAATAATTGCACACACAATAACAATGGCAAATTTAATATAATTTAATCACACAATAACTCATGCTGCCCTTAACACAAATACGACGGTACCTTTTTAATAGCATGGAAGAGATGAATTCATAAAACCTGTTAAATAAATGATGAGTTTTGAACATAAATCACCTGCAAAAGTTTCTTTCCAAAACACACCCAAAACGTCAATAACTTAGGGCAAGGACTGCATGAATGTCAGTCTGAGTCCTGCTACAAACATGTTACCCACATAAATCAATGGTCCTTGACTTTTATAGGCAGAAAGCAAAAGCAGTTTTCCCCAGCCTTTGCTCCTCTCTTTGACCATATCCTACACCTCTGGCTTTCTAGTAGACACCAAGTACCTTGAGCCTTTTTTCCCCTGCTGGCAGTGGGACTCTGCTTTTCCTGCCTGGGCTTTGTCATGTGATCCTGTGAAGATAACTGCAAGTGGTTTCCAGATACCTCATCCAGAGCCAGCCCAAGCCATGGTTGTTTTCTCCAGCATGGATTCACCCCCATCAGAGGCCTAGGAATCCAGAGTCAAATAAGGGCATCTTTCAGTGACTAGCACCATTGGCTGCCAGTGATCTTGAGTAGGACATGAAATAACCACCATAAAAATCTGTCACAAAGAAAAGCCCTTGAAGGTGGGCTCTCCACAACATTAGACTTCCTGTATTTCAGCTGACACTCAAGAGGAAAGTGGCCCTACCCCACCTGGTGGGCAAATGGACAGGGACACCATAGGGAGCTTCAGTAGCCTGGAGAAGGCAAGTCCTGAGGGCAGGGAGTATTCTTACCCATCCTGGCAACATTGGCAATCCAAGGACACTAATTAGTGACAGCCCTCTCATGTTTAACTTCTCCTGAGCAGAGGAGAGACTGCCTGAGGAGTGCCAAAGGGATACTGAGTACATTGGGATGGGGTGGGGGCTAGACTGACAGCAATGTCAACCACAAAAGGCTGATACCTAAGACCAAAAGATAAAATGGATGGAGGCCAAAGGGGACAGCTGCACTCTAGTTCAACACTGGATCTGAGGCTAGAATTCAAGACTCTTCAGAGGAGCTACAATGTACAGGTTGAACTTGGGCAAGGAGAAGAGGCTGAACCCTATTTGTGAATTTATACCCAAAGCCCCTCACATGGTAAGGTGGGAACCTGGCAGGCATCAGTGAGGTTGGCCCTAGAGTGGGGAAGAACCAGCCCTTGTCATCGTTCAGAGAAATCTTGGCCTCTGTAGCGTGGGTAACATTCCCTCGGGGTCACCTTGCCCATCATTTAGCACACACCCGAACATTTTTAAGTAATTAAAGATGAATGTAGGCTGGGTATATACCTAAAAGAATTAAAAGCAGAGACTCAAACAGATAGCTGTATAGCCACAATCATAGCAGCATTATTTCCAAAAGCCAAAAGGTAGAAACAAACCAAGTGTTCATCAAGGGATGAACTGATAAATAAAATGTGGTCTATCATACAAGGTAATATGAATCAGTCTTTAAATGGAAGGAAGTTCTGCAACATGTACAACATGGGTGAACCTTAACAGTATTATTCTTACTGAAATAAGCCAGACACAAAAGGACAAATACTGCCTGATTCCACTTATATGAGGTTCCTAGGGTAATCAAAATCATAGAGACAGAAAATAGAATGGTAGGAGCAAAGTGTTAGGAAGAGAAGAAGAATGGGAATTTAGTATTTAATGAGAACAGAGCTTCAGTTTTGCAAAAGGAACAGAGTTCTATGAATGGATGGAGGTGACAGCAGAACAACAATGTGAGTGTACTTAATGCCACTGAACTGCACATTTAATAATGTTTAAGATGGTAAATTTTATGCTATCTGTATTTTACCACAATTTTTAAAAATGCATGCATAAATCTGAGAATTTCAGTAAAAAGAAAAATTAGTTTGGAAGGCTGATGCAGTCATTACAACTGCTAACCAAGAACCATCAATGACATGAAAAACCAATCTAATGTTATTTTAATTTTTTCATGTTTTCTGTAATGGTGACTTTAATACTTTCTTTAAAATATGAATTTTTCTTTTGAATTTCCTTTTTTTGTCCTTGTAATTTCTTTTTTTAATTTTAATTATTTTTTTCAAATACATTCATCTCCACCTTCCCCCTCTAATGCTATTTTAGATCAAAAAAAGCAAGATACAGGATTGTTTGTGGTAGATTTCAGCTACGTAAAGATAAAAATGTCCATATCTGTACTCATGTATGTGGAAAAAGAGCAGAAAGAAATACACACATCAATAGTGACTACATTCTGGAGGGTAGGCTTCTTTTCATCATTAACATTTTCCACAATGAGCATATGTTTGTTACTTTGATACTGGGGAGAAGAAACAGGATAAATCAAGTATAAAACCAAACCACAAAAAAGTAAAAAAATAAATAAATAAATATTCATTCAATCTCCAGATTGAGAGAGGTCTTCAGGTTTAACAGAAAAAAAAAAAAAAAAAAAACAAGAAAAAAAAACAAAACAGGAAATAAGACACACCGGAAAAGAGCAATTCGTTTCATTACTTGAAAAGTGAAACCCATAACAAAAATTAAAAGGCAAATTCACAAACTGGAAATACAGATGCCCAACAATCATACAGAGAGAACATAGATCAAAGTCATTAATGAGCAAAGAATTAGAAAGGTAAAACAGGATACCATTTTTATCTATTATTGTTAGGGGTTAGTTTTCAGGGGTTTTGTTGGTTTTATGGTTTTTATTTGCATGCTTAAAGTTTTACTACCCTAAGGTAGCAGGAGAGTGGGGAGAGGAGAAGAATAGAGAAACTTTTGACAATTTGGCACTGAGAGACTATCTATCCTAAGGGAGTAACTTGAAATACATGAAAACATTTTATTCAAAAAGTTGCTCATCACAGCATTATTTACAACACTAAAAATTTGGAAATAACCTAAACTTCAAATGATTTGAAGGTTATATAAATGAATAAAAAACTACACAATAAAATATTATTTCCACCAGTATAAAGCATCTTTGCAAAAATGTGTAATTACCACATATAATAAGTGGAAAAAAACAAGAATACAAAACTGCACAATAGAGCACATAATATGATCACAACCAAGTAAAAACTCACACCCCAAAAAGAGACAAGATATTAAGTGACTTTCTTGGAGTAAAATACTAGATGAATTTTCCTACCTTTTACTGTATTTCTGTCTTCCAATTTTTCTATAATTAACACAATTTTATGATCAAGAAAAAATACCATTTTTAAGTAAGGGGATTAGAAGATTCTTTAACAATTTAATTTCATCCCACAATGTAGTCTAGAGAGTCACAAACCCTTAGCTTTTTGGAGGTGGGAGCATGGAAGCAGGGTATGAAGAATGATCATGAATGTATGGTGAAGGGAAGAGGGGTAAATCTAGGAGTGGATGGGGAGGCAGGGATTGGCAAAGGAGAGTAAGGGACCAGTATGCAAACTGGTCAACCAAGGAAAGGGGCTTTGTGGAGTCAGGGAAGACTGTGACTGCTCAGGGGAGGTCTGTATAGACCCAGTAATAGGCACTAGTGGTGTTCTTAAAGGACAGGATCAAAGAGGAATTTCAGGAAGACACATGGATTCTTTAGGGATGAGGGAGGAAAGAGGAAGGGCAGGTAAACTACTTGGGAAGGAGGTAAGAAGGGCTGAGGTGATGTCCATGGGACTGGAGAAAAAGGTCAATTGAAAGAGTGAACTCCCTACGCTATGCTTAAACCAAACATACTTCAGTAATCTCTGGACATGGCTTTGTAGGCAAACACAGGATAATCAATCCACAGGAGGAACTTGCCAACAACCAGGTGGATAGAGCTCAAATTCAGAGTTAATCTAGAGCAGCTCTATTCAATCAAATTTCTGTCATGACAGAAAGGTTCTAGATCTGTGTTGTCCAATATGGTAGCCACTAACCAACCACATGTGGCTATTGAATACATGAAATATGACAAGTACAATGAAATTCTGCTTTGGAAATATTTATTTCACTTAACTAATTTAAAATTAAATAGGCATATATGTGCCTAGTGGCCTCACCCAGATGCACTAAGTCAGAACCTTTATGGGCGGGGTCTAGCACCCTGGATTTTAACAAGCACTTCAGGTGGTCCTCTGATGTACCCTCATATTTGTAAGCCACTGAATTAGGACCATTGAAAATTTCTGGCATCACTTGTTCTGGTTTCAACTGAACTGTGTAAAAGAACCCCTGGTCAAATTAAATGAGGATTTCTACAAATAAAGTGTCTGGGGGACATTTAATAAAAGCTGTCCAGCTCAGTGGGATTAAATAAAGGTTATGTGAAACAACAAAGATGTGGTTTATCTAAACTAAGTCAAGATAAGGAACATAATCAGCTTTGATATCTGAAAACCAAAAGTGGCTGCTCATTCCAGTGTGTGCTGCAGACATGCAAAAGGACACAAGAAGTGACTCTAAGTTGGGTTCAGTATCAAAAACAGCAACCAAAAAAACCCATACGATGATTTAGAAGAGCATACCACTGAACATGAAATGCAGCCTTCGCTTCTATAAGGAGAGATTTGTAAAGAGAGGCCAAGAACGACAACCTAGGAGAGCTGAAGCATTCTGAAGCTACATCCTTATGTAGCAGAGATAAAACAGAAGCACTTCCAATAAAGACAGATTGATATGCAAAAGTACCCCATGTAGACCCAGACCCAGATGTAGCTTTGATAATGCAAGTAAATTACTGACAAAATGGCAGATGCACTTCCGACATGCATGTCACTTCACTCTCCTCTGGCATAATTCAGCTTATGACTTCTGCAAGAGCAGATTTGGGGGATTTTTGATAATAAAACTGTGCTTCAAGAAATCAAGTAAGAAAAAAATGACGAAGTGTACATATTGTAGCCAACAGGAGCAACAAATGAATGTGAAATAAAAACCTGTGTTAAAACTTACTCTAGCTACAGAGTAGGAGATAAAGCTAAATACACTGAAAATATGTCATGAGAAATTTACAAACAGGACTGTAAAATTCTTAGTGAAAGTGATAAAAGCCATAAAGAGGATTAAGAAGACAAAAAAAAAGACTGAGGGAAGCCATCTACATGTAAAGATGAGGCTTCCACAAGAGAGACAAGCTTCAGGATCAGAGGAGATGAATAAGGCCTTCACTCCTGAAGTAGAAATTGTAGCCAGTACACTGAGTCGCTTAATCACTTAGAAGATCATTGTTACTATATATACCTCTATTGTAGGCTACTTAGTGTAAAAAAAAAAAAACTTTTGAAATTTTACTGATTTGAAGTAATCTTTTAATATAATATCTTGCCTTTTTGGTTACTATTTAATATACTGAAATAGCTTAACCTAATTTGCTGTATTTTGTTTCACCAATGAAGCACTTGTAAGGAGGGAAATACTAAAAATTACTCATTTTGACACAGAACTACATTTGATGTTTATTTAGAAAGTGATTGACTCTTCTGATGACTACTGATTAATTAATAAGCTGCAGCATAATGTAAATGAGTTGTGAATATTCCATCCTTTTAAAGATGATATAAGCTAAGTTTATCACTACCGCCTGCCTTTCTGGTTACTTTCACATTTAGGAAATATATAACTGGGGGATTAGAAATGACCTGATATTACACTAATGAAAAGTTTTTACAATTCTCAAAATAATTGAAAATTTAATAAAATTAATGTTGTCTTTAATTAGTAATTAATTAGAATATTTCTTGCCTCCTGAATAAATGGATGTCTGCAACCAAACACCCCTGAAGGAGAACACTAATAAAGTTGTGAGTGACTTGATTCATGCATACAGTTATATCTTTAGATGTTTTCCATTGTAAACAACATCTTTCAATACATGACCTTTGGGTTAAAGGGTCATATTATTTACTAACAGATTTTTATTTGGGTCAGAAAGTCTCTAAAAAAATTTAACTCAATTTCTCATACATTTTATGACTCTAGTTTACTGAACATTATTTATTATTTGATGTAGAAATTCCATATTAATTGTTTCATATATATTTTATCTTTAGATTATGAATTTTGTGACCTTAGAGACAAAAATTAAAGATAAGATTTTAAGGCCTTGGCATCTAGCATTATTTTACTTTATTTTTAACAATGCCCTGGCTGGTGTGGCTCAGTGGATTGAGTCCAGGCCTGCAAACCAAAGGGCTGCCAGTTTGATTCCCAGTCAGGGCACATGCCTACAGGTCCCCAGTAGGGGGGCACATGAGGAGGCAACCACACATTGATGTTTCTTTCCATCTCTTCCTCCCTCCCTTCCCCTCTATCTAAAAATAAATAAAGTCTTTAAAAAATAAAAATAAATCTACATTACATATTGACACAGTACTTTTATCATATTGGGTTAAATAAGAGAAATTATAAAATTATAAAAAAAAAGAACCAGGAACTCAGTGTCAAACTTAATTTGATATATACTTACTTTTTGAAATGCCCTAAATTCCACAAATAATTAAAGTATTTCTTAAATGTAGTGTTATGTTTGGTTATTATGGTCTTGATATCTAAAGGCATGACAATTATAGTTTACCAGTCTGTACTTATTCATTCAATAAATAAGCTATGACTCTTCAAGAAAAAGGAAAGAAAAGGTTCAGCCCAGCCCCAGTTCAATTACCAATTAGAAACTAATAAAGACCAAATCAAAATATTTGGCTGTTGTATATTCTTTGGCCAAATTGTTGATGCACATTTTGATTGCATACCCCTCGAACGTCTTCCAGTATTAAGAGTAATCACAAAACAACCAGCTCTAACTCTTTTTGTTACCTGCCACAAGGGAACACATTATATATATATGCCCTCTGTGGCTCATACAACTCAAGGTGTCAATGATTGAAGAAGGTCTCCACCTTGAGAGTCATTATACATGTTATGATCCTGCAAAGGGTCAGAATCTACAAAATACAGTTCCCCTGCATGGACATCAGAAAAGTTAGCAAGAAATTCATGGGGATTAAAGCCAACCCACACAGTATACCTATAGTCTATTGTGCGTATGGAATAGCCCATGACCTTTATATCTTTCAAACTTGGCTTGTCAGAATTCCACTGAGGATAGTCTGCAGGCCGGGGGTACTGACTATAGGCAACGGACTCACGGGGATTAACATGGAGGGTTAGATCCTCTTCCAAGTCATGAAATTGAAAATACTTCAGAAGGCTCTGGCCTTCTCGGCACAGCTCCACGTGAAATGAGGGAATGGGGCAACGAGGTGGAACATGCAATCCTGCAAGGCCCGCGAGTGTGGGGAAGAGAGAGACAAGTTCCACGAGGTCCACAGCTTGCTGGCCTAAGGAGAAGACCCAGGAGAATGGGTTACATTACAGAATCTTGCCACAGCCAGGCAAAATGAGTAAACGAGCCCATCTGAACTCCACAGTTGTCCTTGTTTTCTTTTACAACATTTATTTTTAGCTAAGAATTTTAAGAAACTAAGAATTTTAGAAACAATGCTAACTCGGCACCTCACCCAGTAGTGTAATGCAAAATGAAGGTGCCCTCAGCCTCTTGGCACATGTTAAAATTATTGGAATTTTGGAACCACCAGTTTATAATTGATTCAAGCAAGGATCATCAATGCAGGCCCAAACCTTTGGGTATAAGTCTGTTAAAGAACATGATACTCCAAATCTCATAGTAACATTCTGCAGATTACCATTACAATGGCAAGACCCGGCTGCATGACCACCTTAGCCAGATGATCAAACCTGGCATCACTAATAATTGCACAGGCTGCCAGGAAGTGCCCCTGATCTGATACAATGGGAGCACAGAAACACACATGTTATGCATGTACTTAAAATGTTTACCCTGTGTCTAGTCATGAGGAAGCAATTAGACAATTCCAGACTTGGGGCCACTGCACAAGACAGCTGGCCTGGACACTTGTAAAAAGATGTTAGAAAGATAATGCAGGGGTGGAGGGGTTCCAAGATGGCTGCAGAGTAGCTGGAGACCATCCACATGCTCCAAGCCCCAGACTGGTCTTGCAGCTAAACCACAGAGCAATTAACTTGAAATCCAGTTAAGTATGTGAGTGAGCGTGTGTGAGGGCAAGTGTGCAAGCATGTGTGCAAGTGTGCAAATGCCTACCATCTGTGAGGGGACTCAGCAGCAGGCAGTCAGGGCTTGTCTGGCAGAGCCACTGCCACCACCACCACCCAGCCCAGCACTTCTAGCTACACAGATTTGGAGTGGGAGCCGTTTTTTGGAATTTACAAAATTCTCCTCAGGAAGAAGCCACTGGAGTGGTGGTGCCTCAGTGCCCAGCCTTGCCTCTGTGCCCTCCATGCCAGGCTGAGACATGCACCCTGCCACCGCGGGAAGCCAGGGTTCAGGAACTGCAGTATTTGCTCGGAGTGCCACTGGGATGGCAAACTGGATAGAGTCTGACTGAGGAGTCTGTGGATTGGCCGAGAAGCCAGGAGAACCAGGGGCAGGAGAAGCAGCCAGGACGACACAGGATGCAGACCACAGTGGGAGCTCAGCAGCAGGAGACCAAGGCTGAGACTCCTGGAGAGAGCCGTGCAAGCACCCCACCATTGTCCCAGTTATAGTTTTGCTGCTGGATTCTTCCCTTCCCTCTCCCACCCCATCAGGATGATATGAGACTTGAAAGAAGACAATGCATACAGGATATATTCTAATTTGGGAAAGAGAGAGACAGGTGTTGGTATAAGAGAGGAGTTGCTAGGTGGCATCCTGTACGTGCCCCAAATGAGGAGCCCTATCTAGGCACAGGGGGACATGGTAGGGGTTGAGCCTTTTGGCCAGAAGGAGGAAAGTTCCCAGCAACAAATGGGCCAATAAAAATCAGGACACAAATACAACAGGAGAGCCCACATAACCCATACAAGGGACGTTCCTAGAGTATCCAGATGAGGAGACCAAGGAGTCTGCACCTTGGGAACTCCGCACATTGGGAAGAGATGAAAACAAACCCATTATCTTTTTTTTTCCTTAAAGGGGCAAAGAACAGGTTTTGTGTTTGTGGCTACCCACCTAGAGCTCCAGCAAAGGGAGGACAGCATGGACTGGAGTTTTGTGAGGAGAGCCTGGAGTGGAAGGCACTGAGGAGAGACTTGGGTGAACAACTGTGGATTTTTGGGGCCTGGATATACCTGATCTCCACAGAAGCCATCTTTCCAGAGAAGAGCTAGCTCCTCCCAGAGGAAAATCAATTACCTTACCCTACAGGATACTGCTCCCCTTATCCTCTGGATTCCCCTTGCCATAATCTCTGAAATCCTGTTCACTCCACATAGCAACTATTTTTTGTTCTTTTTTCAGTTTTGCTCTATCTTGGTGTTCTGCTTTGTTTGTTTTCATTTCTTTTCTCCCACCCTGCATCTTAACCCTTGCTGAGGAGACAGCAACATAAACAAACTCAGGGGTCATCAGAGACTGGCAGTAGGTGCAACCAATCCATACACTATCCTGGGAAACAAACTGGTGTTTCCCACTCATGAGAGAGCCACAGAAATGCCCTCCCAGCATCCAGCAGACTAAAAATCTGGGCTCTGGAAGCCTATTAGGGACCCTGCCCTGTGGAATACAGGGAAATAATCCTGGACAGACTCAGACTACTGGCTCAGGGGAGGGGGAATACATCCACCATTTTCACTGAAGTCTGAAAGGCACCTGCCATGGAATATCCAGGAGTCATAACCCACTGTTTCCAACCGAAGCTCTCTCATAAACAGTCAGGTCTGGGACTATTCTAAGACTGACAACAGGCTAGCAGGCAGAGAGAGGCAAAGGCGGATCCTGTGGGGACTTGGGATGCTTGCTGCCACACCCCTGGACCCACTGCTGTTAAAAGCCAAGCTTGCAGAACAGCTTGTCCCACCCTGGGAGCAGCCAAGCCTGGAGGAATCAGCCACAAACTTTGGATCACTTGTAGCTTCAAAAAGGTGGTAGAGGGCCAGACATGGACAGCATCTGACATTGGCTTACACCAACTCAGACATCAGAGCAGTTTCCAAAAGGGGAAACCAGCAGGGAAAATCCAAACTCTGCTGAGACAAATCCACTGGGCTTGTTTTTCATTATTTTTGTTTTTTTCATCTTCATAGACTTTGTTATTTTTATCTATTTTTATTTCTCTTTTATTTCTGTTGCTCTAATTTTTCCTTCATATCTCCAATTCTGCTCTTATCTTTGAATACTCCATTGTTCCCTTCTTCTCTCTTATTACTTTGGTACCTTTTCTCTTTCTGTTCTTCTCCTCCATTTGCTTCTTTCAATTCATTACTATTATTAGTTCTCTTCCCTCCCTTTCTCCTCTCATAATCACTTCCCTTTCCTTTGGTCTTTGCACATTCTTTTTCCTCTTCCCCTTTGTCTACTATTCCATTTCTCTTTCAATTTTATTGTTTTTTTTCCTCTTGTTATTGATATTGCTGTTGTGGTCAGGGGAGCTGTGTATTTTGGTGTTGTTTCTGTGCTGTTTTGCTTTGTTCTGCCAGCATCTATACAAAAACATCCAAGATATGGTAGGGATCGAGCCTCTTAATCAGCCAGCCAGAAGGGAGTTCTCACCAATGAACAGGCCAATAACAATCAGGACCCGAATACAACAGGAGAGTCCACATAACCCACAGAGAGAACATTCCTACAGCATCCAGACCAGGTTAAAAGGAATCTGCACCACTGGGTCCAAAGGACTCCTACCACATAAGGCTATTCCACAAGAGAGAGTCAAAGCAAATCAATCCATACATAGAAATAAACAAAAAAAGACAACTAAAATGGGGAGAAAAATAACCAACCCCAACAACCAAACAAAACAAAACAAAGGAGGAATCTCCAGAAAAAGAGCTAAATGAAAATGAGGAGAGCAATTTATCAGACATAGAGTTCAAATAATAGTTATAAAGATGCTCAAGAAATTTAGTGAGAACTACAAGGAAATTAGTGATATTGCATCAGCATGAAAAAGGACATAGAAACCTTGAATAAGAACCAGTTGGAAATAAGAATGAAATATCTGAAATGAAGAACATACAAGAAAGAATTGAAAGCAGGTAAGATAAAGCAGAGGATCAAATCAGCAAGATGGAAGACAAAGTACAAAAAAATACCCTGTCCAAGCAACAAAAATGAAAAGATGATTCAAAAAAGAACAAGGATAGTATAAGCCAACTTTGGGACAACATGAAACATAGCAATATTCACATTATAGGGACACCAGAAGGAGAAGAAAAGGAGCAAGAAATAGAAAACTGGTTTGAAAAAATAATTAGAGAACACTGCCTTAACTCGGTGAGGGAAAAAGTCATGGAAGTCCAGGAAGCACAGAGGGTCCAAATCAAGATTAAACCAAAGAGGCCCACTCCAGGACACACTGCAATCAAAATGGGAAAATTTAAAGACAAAGAAAGAATATTAAAAACAGCAAGGGAAAAACAACTAGTAACATGCAAGGAAGTGTGAATAAAGCTGTCAGCTGGTTTCTCAACCAAAACAGAAACGAGGAGGGATTAGCACAAAATGGTCTAAGCAATGAAAAACAAGGAACTACAACCAAGACTACTCTACTACTCCAGCAAGATTCTATTTTAAAAAAGGAGGTGAGTGAGAATCAAGATGACAGAGGAGTGAAAGGAAGTAACACTGACCTCCTCCCAGGACCAATCTGGAATTACAACTACACTGTGGATAAATCAACTGGAGCAAACAACTGAAAAACAGCGAGAAAAAAAGCCTTAAAACCTCAGACACACAGAAGAATCAGCTACAGCACAAACTGACCGGAAAGGAGTGCGGTGGAGACTCAAGTGGGCAGGCTGGGTGCCAATGGGCAGCAGTGCCACAGGGCTATATAAACAGTAAGTTGGATCCCTCTGAAAAGAGGGGGGTCTAAACCATAAGCAGGGATTGCCAGCCTACAGCACTAGAGCACAAAATATATGCACATAACAGCCAGCTGCAAAAAGCAGCAGGATTGGTCTCTGTCAGAGTTGGGTGGCTGGAGATGCAAAGGGCCATTGAAAGAGCCAAAACGTACATTTTTACTTGCAGCCACTTAATCTGGGTTCTGGCAAAGGTGGAGGTAGAGTGGGCTGGAGGCACCTAGGGCAAGACTGAGGAAGGAGGCTTTGGGGAGAGGGCTAAAGAGTAGCCGTAGGGATCCCGGTGCTGACTCATCCCCCATGCAGCAGCAACCATATTGCTCAGGCAGACCACTCCCAAGAGTTACAGCAGTGTGATAGGACACAATAGGCTGGCCTCCAGGAAGGACTCTGTCCTGGCACGGTGGTGCTTAAGCGTGACTGCTGAGTGCAGAGT